GTGGCGCGCTAGCAGGCAGCCATGTGGTCCGTGTGAGTTTGCCACTGCATGGGAATGGCTGCGGGTGCAATGGCGCGTGGGTGTGGGCGGCGTGACTGGCTGTGCTCCCGTCCGGGTGCCTGCGTGGGCTGGGTGGTGTCAGTGTTTCTGGGTGCTGGGCCAGGCCCTGGGGGACTACGTGGGTCCTGCATGGAGGACTGGGGTTGTGGTTCGTTTTGTGATGGAGCGGGGTGGGTTGCGTGCCAGAAGGGGACAGTTCCTGCCGCCCCCCCGGTTACCATGGGAACAGGGGTGCTGAGAAAAATCAATTAGCAGTTGATGAACTGATGAATGTGGTCAGGGCGAGGCAGGAAGCTGGGGGGTGGGGTTCTGGACTGAAGGATTTCTGTTAACAAAATATTTATGGAGGGCTGTCAGGGAAAGGCACATAATGGAAATGAACTTGCCTGGTGCAGCCTAGCAGTGGGGAGGCAGAGGACAAGCAATAAATAACTAGTCCAGAAACTGCGGGAAGGCGGAATGGAGATGGGAAAGCAGAGCAGAAGGGGCTGGGTGTGCTGGGGTGGGAGCGCTGAAGGAGGGGCAGGGGGCTTCGCGCAGGTAAAGCTGGAACAGGAAGTGAGAGAGGAGCCAGGGGGGAGAGTGACAGCCAGTGCAAAGGCCCTGAGGCAGGAGCCAACCCAGCCTCAGAGGCAGCAAGGACCTCTGGCAGGGCGAGATGGGAGCCACGCGGAAGCCAGGCGTGCTTAGGCGGTGCCTGTGCTAGGCCGGGCTGGGGGGTGCTGGAGGCTGGGGGAGGGTCGCACATGGAAGTGGAGATCTTGTGTCACCCGCGAGATGGCGTGCGTCCCTTTCAGAGACCCGCGCTGCCTGCCCAGGTTTGCGTTGGGGAGGACGGAGCGAGCTCACGGGGCCGGGGGCAGCGGACGCGGGCGGGGAACTGGCCGGCCGGCCACTGGCGAGGAGGACGCCAGGGAGGGGGCTTACGCTGGGTGTCTGCCCGCCCCTCCCAGGAAGACGCTGCAGGTGAAGATTGTGGATGACGAGGAGTATGAGAAAAAGGACAATTTCTTCATCGAGCTGGGCCAGCCCCAGTGGCTTAAGCGAGGGATTTCAGGTGAGGACCCCCCCCCCCCCCGCCCCGGGGCGGCGGGCTCTGGGAGAGGGGAGGAGCCCGGGGCTGGGCTCTGCGGGGGAGTGCTCTCACTGTCTCCCTGTCTGTCTCTCCCCAGCTCTGCTGCTCAATCAAGGTGAGTGGAGGCCCCTCGGGCTTTGAGGAGGGGGCCGTGGGGACGGGGCTCAGAGCTTCTTGCCTGGGTCTGAGAGCGTGGAGTTGTAACGGCAGACGCGGGCCGCCGAGGGCGGGCGCCGGTCAGCGTGAGTTGGGGGTCACGGTTAGGAGCTGGAAGGTCAAGGCCGGGGACGGAGGGGTCGCAGGCTGAGATCTCCGTTTGTGGTGGGGTCAGCAGGAGTCAGATTTGAGGTTCATTAGGACTTGGAGGGGGGGCGGCCTTGGGGTTTGGGACGCTGTGCCCCAGGCTCGTGGGGGTCGGCGGTGAACCGGATTATAAGTGGGGTCGCATGTAGGACGAAGGCGAGGCTGAGGTCAGGGCCTTGGGTTAGAACCGGGGTCGGAGCGAGTGGGGAACCCGAAGCTGGCGTCGGGGGTTCTGTCTGGACCTGTAACAGGCCCGCAAACCCCGGCAGCGCCACACAATCCACGTCCTTTTCCGCTCTGGAAAAGTTGTCTGAGGCCACTCCTCCTGCGGCCTCGCTGAGCCCGCCTCTCTGCTTCCCGCCGCCGAACGGGCCCCGCGCATTGGGCGGTCTTCCTGGGCCCGGCCTGTCCATCACCTCTGCTCACATCCTATTGGTCGCAGCGCAATCACGTGGTCACGCCCAGCTGCGAGGAAGGCTGGGAAATGTAGTCCAGCTGTTTGCCGGGCGCGGAAGGGAAGCAGGTTCCAGGCAGCTCTAATGCATAGTCCAGCGCTTCGTTAGTGATGACGGCGAGCTGGGGACGGGGGCTGAGGTTCGGGTCAGTGGAGAACTAGCGTGGGTGCGGGATCTGGCTGGGGCTGGTTGCGGTGGGGTCAGATCCAGAGTTGTGGGGTGGGATTTGGGGTCGGTGGCCACAGGATTACGTTTGCGGCCCCAGCTGAAATCCGGGTTGGTACTGGGATTGCAGTGGAAGGGCAGAATGCCTTGGGGAGAGAGGAGCTCAGAGCCGGGATGGAGGCGGGCGTGAGTCCAAACGTGGCGCCGACAACAGGCGTCCTCGCTCCCCACCACCTGCGACCCCTCCGGGATGCTCCCAGGAGCCCAGGCCTCCTCCCGCGAGGGCGGTGACGGCGATGGTGCACTTCCTGAACATTCGTTGTGTGCCAGACACTATTCTAAGCACTTAATTAACTCATCTCACCCTCCCGGTCGCCCTGTGAGATGTAGGGACTGGCGCAGAGCAGCTAAGGCACTGCCCAGGGTCACACGGCCCCCACCATGGGGCCCCCAGACAGACACACACACCACACACCAGCTAAACTCCCCAGGCCAGCCCTGGAGGTGGGTTCAGACGGGACTGGGAAGGGCCACCAGGGGGGCTTCCTGGAGGAGGAGGAGAGGCTGTCTCGGCAGTGAGGGCATCGCGGGCCCGGTGAGGCGCACCCTGTGGGAGCCTCAGCTCCGACCCTCGCGCGCAGGGGATGGGGACAGGAAGCTGTCGGCTGAGGAGGAGGAGGCGCGGAGGATCGCGGAGATGGGCAAGCCCGTGCTCGGGGAGAACTGCCGGCTGGAGGTCATCATCGAGGAGTCCTACGACTTCAAGGTCACTTCCAGCCCGGGGTGCGGCGGGGTGGGGCGGGGTCTCCCTGAAGAGGGTCCCAAGAGCCAAGCGGTCCCTTCAGCACCGAGGACAGCGACCACCTCTCTCCCAGCAGAGCCCGCGTATGGGAGGTTGAGGACCCCTGAACGTGGGGTGAGGGCCCCCCCGCCCCAGTGCCCCCCATGGGGCTGCCCAGGGGCCACCACAGCCAGTGACCCCAGGTCCCCGCCCTCTGGTCCTCAGAACACGGTGGATAAGCTCATCAAGAAGACGAACTTGGCCTTGGTGATTGGGACGCACTCGTGGAGGGAGCAGTTCCTGGAGGCAGTGACGGTGAGCGCAGGTAAGTGGCGGGGAGGAGGGGGCGCGGAGGAGAGAGGACCCGAGCCACGGGGGGGGGGGGGGCTCCGAGGGAGGCACAGCGGCCCAGGCAGGCAGCGGGGAGGGCAGCAGACGCGACAAGGGGACAGACACAGAGAGAGAGCCACCCAGGGGAGCCGGTGAGACGGGCGCAGGGCCAGGGCCCAAGGAACACGATGCCCCAGAGACTCGGCCCGGGCTTCTCTGCCGCAACCCCTGATCTTAAGGATTACGTGCCGCTGCGGAGCCTCCCCGACAGGGTCCTCGTCCGCCGAGTCTGCCGTGCTAGACATCACCCCAGGCACCTCGTCTTCCCCCACCTGCCTCGGCCCTCAGACGGGCCCGCGCTGCCCCCTTGTGGCCAGAGGCACTATGACACCGGGCCTTTGTGGTACAGAGCGGGGAGACCGAGCCCCGCGGGGAGGCAGCACCTCCGGGCCTTACACGGTCCCAGGTTCTCTCCAGGGAGGGCCCAGGCGCTGTGTCTGGAAAGAACCCAGGCCGCTTCCTGGGCTTGGCCTCCTGGAGCTCACAGTCCAGTGGGGGCAGAGAGACTCAACCCAGAGTGGGCAGGGCTTGGGCGGTAACCCCAGGGAGAGCCACGTCCGGTGCCTGAAGCACTCTGCAGTCAGGGAGGGCTTCCTGGAGGAGACGTCTGAGCTGAATCCTCACATGGGAGTCACGGGGGGGTGGGGTTTGGAGGGAGGACGGTGGGGAGGGTCCCCCAGATGCCCCTGGACTCTGTTCTGGGAGCGCCCAGGGGCTCGGGGCGGAGCAGTAGGGAGCCGGGTGGGCCTCGCTGCCTCGAGGGGCCGTCGGCCTTGACGGAATCCCCCATCACGCTACGGTTTGATTTTGCTCAAGTACTGAGTTCACAGTGGGTTGTGCCGGGGCTCGGTCCTCCTCATGTCTCCTCCGCCTTCTCCGCCCTCACGGTTTGCCCTCACGGTTGCGACACGGCTGCTGCCCCTCCAGCGGTCAAGTCCACATTCCACGCGGGAAGAAAGACAAAAGGGGCCCCGCGAGCGGCTTGTGAGGCTGCAGCGAGACCCTGGCTCTGGACTGCAGCGCGCGGGACTGAGCCACGCTCACCGCGTGGTTAAGCGCTGGCCTGCACACTCGGGCATTTCCTCCTCTAACACGCGAGCGGCTCAGGGAGCTGGGGAAGGGGCAGCGGGGGTCCATGGGGCGCATGGCGGCCGCCCCCCGCGGCTGACCAGCCCCGGCCTGTCCATCACAAAGCCGCTGTGGGTCCCACTGGGCCACACCAGGGGGCGCCACGCAAGGGTGAGACCACCCCAGGGGAGCGTGGGCGCTGCCCGCAGGCCGGCGCCCACCAGGGACCCAGGGGCCACGAGGTCTCGCCAGGCCAGGCCGGGGGGAGGCCGGGAAACGGCCATTCCGCTGAGGGCCTGCGCGGCGCGAGGCATGCCGGGACGCCGGGGGTTTCCCTCTGAGCGCGCGCCCGTGCCTCGTCCCGAGGGATTCTGGGAAAACACCTCCTGTTAGCCGCTGTCCCGCCTCCGGGCGGCGAGAGGCCTGGGGGCAGCGCATGCCATGCGTTTCCGGAGCGGAAAGGGGTTATTTTTGGCTCAGCACGGGCCAATCCCCAGCAGCCGGGGATCCTGGGAGGCTGGGTATTTTTAGCTGGGTCCACAGGCACTGGGGGAAAGTAAATATCTGTCCCTGGGCCGTGCACGCTCCTAGCTGCAAGGGATTCTGGGAGAGTGGCGGCTTCTGGCCACGCCCAGTTCACGGGGGTGTGGAAGATTGGCTGCTTCCGGCCGCCAGCATGGACACGCCCAGCTCCACGGATTTCTGGGAGGTGAGCTGCTTCCTGCTACAGTGTGGCCACGCCCAGCTCCGTGGGGTTCTGGGAGATGGGTTGCTTCTGGCCGCAACGTGGCCACACCCAGCCCCACAGAATTCTGGGATATGGGCTGCTTCTGGCCACGCCACCCAGCTCCGCGGAATTCTGGGAGATGAGCTGCTTGTGGCCGTGCCCAGCTCCGCGGAATTCTGGGAGATGGGCTGCTTGTGGCGGTGTCCAGCCCCACGGAATTCTGGGAGATGAGCTGCTTGTGGCCGTGCCCAGCCCCACGGAATTCTGGGAGATGGGCTGCTTGTGGCCGTGCCCAGCCCCATGGAATTCTGGGAGATGAGCTGCTTGTGGCCATGCCCAGCCCCGCGGAATTCTGGGAGATGAGCTGCTTGTGGCCATGTCCAGCTCCGCGGAATTCTGGGAGATGAGCTGCTTGTGGCCATGCCCAGCTCCGCGGAATTCTGGGAGATGAGCTGCTTGTGGCCGTGCCCAGCCCTACAGAATTCTCGGGGATGGGCTGCTTCCGGTCACGCCCAGCTCCGTGGGGTTCTGGGAGATGGGCTGCTTCCGGCCGCGCCCAGCCCCGCGGAATTCTGGGGGGTGGGCTGCTTGCGGCCGCGGGGTTCCAGGAGCGCGGCGGCCTCTGCGCGCGGCCGTGCCCAGCGGGCTCGTGTGCCCACAGGGGACGAGGAGGAGGAGGAGGACGGGAGCCGCGAGGAGCGGCTGCCCTCGTGCTTCGACTACGTGATGCACTTCCTGACGGTCTTCTGGAAGGTGCTGTTCGCCTGCGTGCCGCCCACCGAGTACTGCCACGGCTGGGCCTGCTTCGGCGTCTGCATCCTGGTCATCGGGCTGCTCACGGCGCTCATCGGCGACCTGGCCTCGCACTTCGGCTGCACCGTGGGCCTCAAGGACTCGGTCAACGCCGTGGTCTTCGTGGCCCTGGGCACCTCCATCCCCGGTGAGCGCGCCGGCGGGGGCGGGGCGGGGCGGGGCGGGGCCTCGCGCGCGCGGGGGGCGGGGCGGGAGCCGACGCGCGTCTCTGCCCGCAGACACGTTCGCCAGCAAGGTGGCGGCGCTGCAGGACCAGTGCGCCGACGCGTCCATCGGCAACGTGACGGGCTCCAACGCCGTGAACGTGTTCCTGGGCCTGGGCGTGGCCTGGTCGGTGGCCGCCGTGTACTGGGCGGTGCAGGGCCGGCCGTTCGAGGTGCGCACGGGCACGCTGGCCTTCTCCGTCACGCTCTTCACCGTCTTCGCCTTCGTGGGCATCGGCGTGCTGCTGTACCGGCGCC